GGAATGCCTAAGATTATATTAGAATGTTTTCAAGCTCCAGTAGCTCAAGCTCTGGTATGTTCAGCAATTGTGCACCGGGTGTGTTTTTCCTTTCTTCCTTTGGGCTTTTACCGATGTAGTAATTTACAAGGTGCACAGAAATGGAAAGGTGATAGCAATCAGACTGCATATTTTTCCCCTTTGTGTGGTGCAACAGGTTTGCCTGTAGCCAGGATACCAAGATGGCAGAAAGTTGTAAACAAGTACCTGGGACACATTCCTTAGCACGAGCGAAACCCACAGCTGATTCCCTCAAAAACCGTTTCACAGCGAGTCAAAGTGCACCCGAGCTGTGCAAACTTTAACAAGAATGGTCAAATAGTTTTCAGTGCATTCCACACTTGTTCATTTGATACAAGAGCTGTGTTTTTGGTCAAAATTAAATGGGTACTCCACCTAAAAATTGTATTTATTTGCTCACCAACATGTTGTTCGAAACACAAATGACTTTATTTTGTGGGACACCAATGAAGATATTTTGAAAAATGTTTCTATGTGTGTGTTTTTTTTTTGTCCATGCGTTGAAAGTCAGTGGGGACCAGTGTTGTTTTGGACCCCAAAAACTTTTTGTAGACAAAAAAAAAATGGTTTTTTCTTTTTTTTTCAAATATCTTCATTTGTGTTTAACAGAAATAAATGGGGGATTATAAAGCAAAGGCCAAAGAAAAAAAGAAAAGAAAAGAAAATGTGATGGCAGAATTTTTGGGTGATTTGAAGCAGCCCCACTTTTTTTATTTTTTTTTCCATTTAACCCCAGTGTAATTTTGTTATACTGAAATGGTGCAGAAAACTCAACAGCTTTGAGCTGAGCAACTGAACGGAAACAAAAGCTGAGGCATAACAGACGTTTCCATGCTCATGCCTGGTTGGCTGGTCTTCTTGCACAGTGGTGCATCAAAGGCGCTGATTAAAAATGACAAATATTTCAAATCCTGACCCAAAACTGTCAGCGTACCCACCTCCCTCCATCCCCCTGCATGCATCTCTCAGATGGCTGGTTCTTTCTGCTGAGCAACAGTTAATTGACAGGGTGTTCTAATGTTAGTGGCTCTACTTGGTAATGAGCTCCCATTTGACAGCCTACCTGTGGAGTTGCTGAGGCGTTGATAGCCCTCCAGACATTAAATAATAATAATGTGCTGCTTGGAACTGTTAGAAAAATTTGGTTGGGTAATTTATGTGTAATATCAGTGGCTAGTGTAAGTGATAATCTTTTTCATGTAGTCATTTTTTTGAGTAGCTGTGTTTTATTTTTAAGTAATATTCCTGGTTCCCTGATATTAACATACAACAATATGTAATTTTTGTAGAAGGAAGTACTTGCAGGCCTAAATCAGTTTTGTGTTTTGCCAGACTGAGGTTATGTTACATGTGATTTGTTTACATGTTAAATTTGTCCCCAATTTTCATCAATTTTTGTAATCATGCTGGCAACTGTCATCTTTGAATGGAATAACCAGGTTTCAATTTTCCTGGTTGAGAATGTAGCCAAGAATTCAAAATCGTAAGGAGCCAAAAGTACGAACTGAAGTATCAGTAATTGGAATCCAAGCACTAATGGTTACAACCTTTATTTAGAGAATGGAGACATTAGCTGTGGTATAGTGGACTGTATATGCTCATGACATATAGGTGGTGTTTAATCACAGGATTTAAATCTTCCCGCTGTCATATGCTTTCCTTTTTATCTTGTTTATGTCTATTGTTCTATATAAACAATATAGGACAATTTATTATTTTTGTGCCTTCATTTGTAGTAATAATAATAATAATGTAAAATGAATTGTTAAAAACGTATGGGAGGAAAA